TGGCAACATTCCAGGACTCCCGAGCCCCCCAAGGGTGGTCTCGGTGACTCGGCACCTCAGTCCTGAGGTGCTGAGATCCCACAAGTTGAGTTGAATAGCTGTATGTGAATATTTTTGTTTCTTATTTTAAATTGGCATTGTCAATACATTGAAACCAAAGAGTCAGTTGTGACAGTCAGTCTACCCTGGGTTGGGTTTTTTCATAGTTGGCTTGCAAATCCATAACAAAGGATGCCTAATATGTTGTGTACTGACAGGAAGGCTGCTGTCATCTGTGGTACCAAAGTACTGAGAGACACAAATAAAGGCAGCCTTTTAGTTTGCATCTCCCTACCAATATTATTTCAGAACTCTGTAAGAATCTATTGAGAGAAGAGTAAGTATTTCTTTAGTTGTGATTGTTTTGACTCTCTTGTAAACTCTGCAGATTTGTATCAGTGAACTGATTAAATAACAAGAGGGAGGCAAGCAGCTGTGGCTTGCAAAAACCATCCAAATGCAGAAGCTTTTCAGGGAACATGATTTTCATTCTCCTCACAGCAAGATTATATTGTATATCCAATATCGAAAAGCTTTGCTTTACTTTTAGCTGGGTAAGTTAAAACAGACTAGATTTGTAAACCTCTTAATCATTCTGTCCTTTTAAAACTGTCTTGAAAATGCTTTTTGGAAAAGCTCAGTGAATGTATTACCATTTTTACTGTTTTGCATCTAAGTTTTATTTGTTGTCCAATAATGTCAGTCAAGGCGGTAGAATTCCTGCAGAGATCCTGTAGAAAAAAAAAAGTAGCTTAATTTATGTAGCATAAATTAAGTGCTTTCAGGTGTATATGAATATTACTTAGTAACCTGAGTCCAGAGAAGGGACACAAAGGTCATCAGAGGGCTGGAGAATCTTGTCTAGGACAACAGGCTGAGAGAGTTGTGGTTGTTCAGCCTGGGAACGAGAAGTCTCTGGGAGACCTTAGAGCAGCCTCCTAGTACATAAGGGGCGCCTGCAAGTGTTGGAGAGGGGCTTTGGACAAGGGCATGGTAGGACAAGGGAAAATGGCTTTAAACTGAAATTTAGTAGGTTTAGATTAGATACTGGAAGAAATTCTTCACAGTGTGAGTGGGGAGACACTGGACAAAGTTGCCCAGCGAAGTTGTGAATGCCCTATTCCTCAAAGTTCAGCACCAGACTGGATGGGACTTTGAGCAACTTGGTCGAGTGTGAGGTGTCCCTGCCCATGGCAGTGGGGTTGAAACTAGATGATCTTTAAGGTCCCTTTCCAACCGTTCTATAATAATTAAATGGCTGCAAGCCACCAAGAGACACTCCCTATCAGCATTTCCTTTTTTGTGTCCAGTTACAACTAAGGCTCAGTTGTTCAGCATATCATAGATAGACTTATACAAAGTATAAAATGTGGATATTTTATAGAGATGATTTTCCAACAACCATGCTTCAATTTTTCTAGGATTTTTTTTTCTTGAAACCTTACTTCCTGAGAGGTCCCAATCACAATCTGTTTACAGAATTTCGGAGAAAATATTTGACTATTACAGGCTTACTTGGCTGTTACTGCATTATTTGATTTCAGTATTCTTTTTCAGTGCTTTCCTTGACTGCATGTTTGGAATGCATGATGTATTCTTACACAAGTTGTAATAAATAGAAGAAATTTTTAAATTTTAAAATTATTTTAAAGGATTTATATTAATTTCAAATGTATAGTCTTCCTATGCTACTGAAATAAAATAGAGAAATAAAAATAAGAAATTCTTTAAAACTTGTGTTAAGAAGTTTTCTGCTAGGGCAAAGTTCTAGCAGGTGTCTGCACTGCAGGGCCAGGGCTGTTGCCAAATCATGCACATTGTACTCCTTGTTTAGGTCTGTGAAATCCCCTGTACAGCCTTGCTAATGTTCCATTTCTGCCAACACACAAATTTACAGAGGTAGTTACTGGAGAGGGTGATAAATATTCAGGTGTATTCTTGTGTTAAAGTACCCACTGTGCCTCTGATCCTGTCTTTTTTATGTACAAAATCCAAATGATCGGGACAAACCCTTCTAGATGCAAGAGAGAGATCTGTCCTTCCTTTCTTCCTCTCCCCCTACCTCAACATGGGTGCTTTTTTGCAGGAAAGTGAAGGAAAATAGGAAGGATTTGGTCTGTATGTCTGTCCTTTGTCAAATAATGGCTTTTCATAATGAAACAACAGATCCTATAAGAGTAATAAGGTTAAAGCTTATATTTTATTTGTTTTTTGTGCTTTCTTTCATTAATGAGTTGCTAGAACTTCTTCATTTCCTTGCCTTCTGTCAATGTATGTTTTCTTTTCTCATTATGCAGATTAGATCAACTTGAAGCCTGCAGTCAATCACATATTAGCCATATAATAAAAATTTTGGATTAAAATTTTGTGTTGTCAGTCCTATGTTCCATTTGTAACCTATTTCTTGAAATCTGGTGGGATTTGTTTCCCCTCCTCCCTATGCAATACATCTTTATTTGTGCTATGGATAGAAGTCAGCAAGGTCTAAAGATAACTTGACATCTTCAACTTAGAAGAGCCAAGTATCAAGCAAGCCATTTCATCAAGATTATTGCAATCATTTCAAACTCAAGGTATAGTCCCTTTTTCTTGGAGAAGTGTTTGTTGGAGTAATAGTTTTTCCTTCATAAAAGTTTTAAGGTCCTTCTGAAAAACTTTCTTTACACAAAGATCTTTGCAATGAAGTGGTAGCTTGATATCAATTAAAATAGATCTAATTAACAGTTTCAGAGGCAAACCTGGAAAATATTTGTCATAGTCTTTATCAATCTAATGCTCTATGCAAAATGTCTTTTTTAAAGCATTCCAGTGCATTTTTGCAATCTAATGCCAGTTGCAAGGAATTCTCAAGAAAAACAGAGGAAAGCAAATTTTAAAAAATCAATCATTTTAGAACATGACTTTCATTATGCTTTGATAAATATACACTTTCTAGTAGTGTATTTCAATAATATATTTCTTAATGTATTAGTTGCATTCTGAATGTGCAGGACCTTTGTGTGTGTACATTTGTATTTTCATCTGTAAATGCACACACCTGTATGAGTTCATACTGCCTTGAGGTACTGGGGAGGGTGAGGTGGCTGTTGGAGAGGAGAATCTTTTAACTTTACTGACAGAAAAGTTTGGATTCTTTATTAACATGTTCATGAGTCTGCCAGACATGTGTTGTAATGTCACAATAACTGCTTTATGTGAAAATATCAGTCATGAATCCTGTGGTGGTTTCCTCTGCTGAGGGTTAAATATGAGATATTTCAATATTTCATTTTACCCAAACTTAAACAGCTCAGAGACCAAGTATTGAGTAGATTCCTCAAGTTGGCAGAATTGATGCAGATGTGATAAGCATTTCTTTTTATCAAAATAAGTGATGTTTAGAAGGAAAAGAAATGAGACACACTGAATACTAATCCAGTCACTTTCAGCGCTGAAATTGCAACTGATTGACCTTTAATGATTTTTCTCTGTGAATTACTCATTCTTTCTGTTGCATGTGTCTCCTGTAATAAATGTAGAGTAATTTATGGTAATTTAAGGCTGAATAACTGAATTATGCTTGCATATGTGGTATCTAAAATGTGAGTGTGAGGTACAAGGTGGATGCACCCAGTCATAGAGACCAGAGACTCAGGCTCTTGGTTTGATCAAGAGTTGGTGACCATCTGAGCAGAAATAAAAATGGCTGCTTTAAAGACATTCTCATGAGTTGCAATTTCAGGTTCTAAAAAGAGTAAAAATAGGGGATCTGTGCAGAATCATTATAGAATCCTAGAATGGTTTGGGTTAGAAAGGGCCTTGAGGATCACCTAGTTACAGCACTCCTGCCATGAGCAGGGCCACCTTTCACTAGACCAGGTTGCTCAGAGCTCTATCTCGTCTGCCTTGAGCAATTCCAGGGATGGAACATCCACAGCTTCTCTGGGCAATCT